GCCCACACCCACACCCACACCCACACCCACACCCACACCCACACCCACACCCACACCCACAGCAGAGTCAGATTGCGATAAAACTTTCTACACAGCTTAGTCTTGACAATGTCTCGGTCGAGTTCGAAGATGAGAAGGATCGGCCGAGCCATTCCTGAGTGATTGCAAAAATACCCATTTTTCCCTTTAGCTTTCTGTGGAAAAATGGACCCATCGCCGCTTTCGTAAAAGATTTTTCCTATCATAGTCAACTAAAACCCCAACTATTATATACCATTCGATACAGAATTTCAAGAGCTACAAAATGGTATATAAAACATAAAGAAACAAGAAGGTTGACTCACCTATGACAAAGATAATTAAAGAGAACTAGCTTATATTTTTGTCCACGATCTAATTGATCCACAAATAGAGCTCTATCTTCCGATCACAGAGATGATACTTTGAGGTTTTCAGATATGGAGAACTCGAATGTGTACTGCACTTCCATCGAAATACTATTAGTTGCGCAGTGACCAATAGAAATGAAGTTATAGGAAAAACGACTTTCTTAGGGTAAATCAAGGGAAAGAGTTCAAACTTGAGCTGTATTTGGCCCATGTCCTATTGGTTTGGGAACGCGCAATAGAAATCAACATTTTAAATGGTAGATTTCACAGTATAATTTCGATATTCAGACAGTCTAGGATGATTGAGTTGTATGATTCACTTTTTGAAGTACACATAACTCTCGGATTTTAATCCGAAGTTTCCGCATTTATTATTCTTAAGGTTTTAATTTGTTTTGGATTCCAATTATTATAATCCGTGTGGTTTGATTTTCTTGTACTAATCATGCCAAGTAGAGAACAATATCTCTGGTTTTGTTCTAAATTCTATTTATGTCTTAAACAAGATTTTTGTTTAATCAAAGCATGTATGAATTACTTTTACTCTGAAACAAATTTAACTTATAATCGGTGCCGATTAACGATTAGAATTAAAAATTACTAATTTATTCATCATATTAAGAAAAAATAATGCTCTTACTATAGAATAATGCATATTTCTTATTAAAATATCATTAAACGTTTTTGTTTTCTGTCAGTTTTCATATATACTTGAGTGACATCAAATTTGTCAATAGTTGAATGAGATCTTCCTTTTGTCTTCGATTTTTACTAGTGATAAATATCACATTCAATGGTACACAAGAAAAATAAAAAATAATTCAAAATGTAATTTTAATTTAGTTATTTCATCAAGAATCAATTATTTACTGAACGTATATCGATACACAAAAGTGGCTTATATTTATTCAATTCGAATATGATGGACTCATTCAACAACGAAAGATATGATGAATTGACTATTCTGTGTGTGAATGCATTCTACAACAGAGATGGATAAAAATTTCTTTGCGCTTCACATTCTTCTGTCTTGTTTTGCTCTGACAATACATTTTTCAATATCATCCGAACATCTAAATATTGTAAGCACATTCTCTCCAATGCTCAGATCAATGTAGTGTAGATATGAGCAGCAGCGCGGTGAGGCACGGGACGATTTGATCTATTTCTGTTCTGAAACTCGGTTAACATGTTTGAGAGAACAGAAAATGCCAAAACGATTATTGTTTTTTTATTGTGTGAGATGATAAGAAAAAGGGTTATGTAGAGAGAATGTCTGTCTAGATTTGTATCAGTTTGTTTCTTCTTTGTAATTTGCTACATAATTTATTTTTGTACATGGTATTAATCGACTTCTTATAATGAAAGTATTCGAATTAAACAAAAACAACTCAACACAGATTTGACGATTGTCATCTTTGAAAAATTATGGTATTCGTTTTTTTTTGTGTCAACTAGAGTATTGAAAAAAAATATTTTATACTTCAACATCTATTCCAGTTCTCTTAACAAAATCGTCCGTTGAAAATGAAATTTATATGATGTTTGAGATTAAAATTAGCATAAATATTTATTTTATGATTTTCACGAAGATGATTTCATTAGTTGAAAACATTGTCCGTGTGAACAGTGGTATTTATTATGTTCATCTATCGAACACAATATATTATTGATGCACGAACAAATCATTATGATTTCTTACCTTAGACTAGAAAATAAAGAAAAGTGACTTTAATAAATAAAAAAAAAAGTTTATCTTTTTCTCTAAGAATATGCTTGTTTATAGATGGATACAAATAACAAAATAATAAGCAAATTATAAAGGAAATGAATGTTAATGAGAAGAGTTATCTGGACTTTTTTTAAATGAACAACATGAATATATGATGATGAATAGAATATTGTTCAATAATCGAAGAGTTTTTCTATTTCATTTTTAAAAACATCAAAAGTTGATGATTCATGTAAGTTTGTTATTAAATTTAATAAATTTGAATAATCTTTATTCATTCGTCGAGTATGTAACCATAAGTGTAATGCTTCTAATGTTATTTGGTGAATATCTGTTAATGTTTCAATTGCGTAAATCTTTGCTAGAATAGGAACATTATTCAGAACTATTATAACATTTAATGCACATTTTAAATCAAATGTTCGTTCATAACGATAATTTGGTAAAGATAATCCAAATAATAATTTTGAATAATAATCTAAAAATTCATAACCAGCATATGCAACTGTATCTGTTACACCTATACTGCCTGCCTTGTCATCCACATCATATGTTATGGCAAATGAGAAATCAATTAATTTTATATGATTTGTATTACTATCTAACATCAGATTTTCTGGACGTACATGACGATGAACAATACGGCAATCATATAAATATTTCATTATATCAATAAGTTGTTTCGATTGCATTAATGATAATGAGTTTATTGGTTGTAATTCTTTATCATACAACAGATATTTATCTAAATATAAAAATAAACAAATTCGAAAGTGTATTAAATATTATTTTAATCATAGACAAATCGAGATGCCGAATACTAAATTCTTTTCATTGTCAATTCATATTGAATTAGAGACATGTACAATGGTGATTGAATATTTTTTCAAAAAAAGGTAGTTACACAAAATCTTTTTTTAACTTGTTATTTCATCTAAACGAGGCACTACTAATATAGAGAGATGTTCAATCACAATTCGAGATTTGAACGGAAGTTAAATTCGTGAAAATTATTCTAAGACATTGTTTTCTGTCTTTTCTCCATAACTCAGCTGCGTTTTTAGTTAGATGATCACTAAATAACCTCATAAAATTGTCAAGATTAGACATGTTTTAGTCGAGTTTGTGCTTTTTCTGTAATAGTGAATAATATCATAAATGGATTCAATTTTATTATGAAACTAGAGTTTGAGAAAGAGCATTAAAAAACGCAAACAAATCTTGTCAATCTTTTGTGTAATGAAAATTGTGTCTCAGTATGGATTTTGAAAAATTTTCTGTTATCGATGAAATATTAGTCTTCGAATTTGAATATTTTTCTATGAAAAATCAAAACAAAATATTTAATAGATATTATGAAATATGCCAAGAAATCCGGTACTCTTACCAAAATTTGATCTCTAAAAACAATTCAAATTCGAAAATTGATAAAGAGTCAAAATTCTGCAGTAGTTGAAGGAATGTTTTAAGTTTTTAAAATAAAAATGACTTGACTAAGAGGCAAAAAACACGAAGTAAAATGTCTTAGAATTATGTGCACTAATTTGTTTTAGTATTATAGAGCATGTTATTTTGAGTACAGGAGTAAACTTTTTAGTTTTATGAACTACTCTTCTGTAAAGATGTTAGTGATTTTTTTTTCAATGTTTTCTCACAAATGTCTTCTATGATCTGTACATCAACATAATATAAACTTATCGATAGATTTTCTTCGAAAGAAAGAAAGAAAGAATGAGATAATGATGATGAAACTTTCTATTTCGACACTATGAATCTAACAATTAATTGAAAATGAAAACAAAAATTTACCATATTCGATTGAGTCGAGTCGGTCATGCCTTTTCTGAATAGATGCCTATCGAAAAACTGTTGACATTTTACAAAATAGGTATTAAAGTGTTTCAATGAGTTCAACAACTTTTACAGAAAAGATTCAACAAAAACTTAACTTTAAGAAAAAAAAATTTGCTTTTGTTTTTTCTTACTAAAACAAGTTTACAATTTATTAAAAGCAAATAGTTAAGCCATCTTCATCGGATTTGCAGTTGTTGATGTACAGCTATTACCATCCACAAGAACGTTTTTCTTTAAGAAACTCTTCAACTATTTAGGACGTGTTCTTTTCACTAAAAGCACAAACAGGTTGTGAAGAAACGCAGGTTTTACGATGTGTCTCTTTTAATATATAATGTACTTTTTCTCGCAGAGTTCGACTTCTATCTGTTTATTCTACACTTTTCCCTATATTATAACATGTAAGAGTGGAGATATGTATATATGGAAAAGGATTTAGGCATATGTATCTATATTCTCCCGTCATGACTCTCATCCTTATACTCTTAACTCTAGTGTCTTACATCTATGCCCTTAGTCACATACCTTTATATCTATCATCCTAAGCTAATACACTACACACTTACCCTATAGACATATAGCTACTCTTATCTCTATAGGGTTGCCAATGTACCTTTATATATATATATATATATATTTACTCTAATATTCAAAAAGATTTTTAATTAATAAGTAGAAAAACATGAATATATTTTCAAAGAATTGATCTAACAAAAATACTTTGCATTCATGATTTTAAGTTTGACTCTACTTTATTGTTACATTATAGGTTCATCTATATAAATGATTTCATAATGAATCCGTTTGATTGTTAAAGAAACAAATGATAAGAAATTATACGAAAAAAAACAAAGAGACGATAATAACAATAAAGTTATAGTTATTATCTGTATCACTCGTGAAGTGCATTTGATGAAAATGAAAGAGCTGTGATCATTCAGGACATCTTTTATTGACGAAATATTATTCATTGGAGCTGCTACACAGAGAAAAACAAACAAACATTGATGAACAACTTCGACAAAACAAATAACTGAAGAAGTTCAGTTGAATCTTGTGAAGGCAATTAAAAGGCAACACGAACTATTTTATTCTTTTTCAATCTAGTCTCTTTGAATGAATTAGGTCTCTCAAAAAAAAAAAAAAGAATAGCACGCTAACCATGGATGATTAGAAATATCGTTAAGATGAATAAAAAGATATTATGCTCAATCATTGTACAGGAAAATATTTAACTGAGTGAATCGTTACCGAGATATCAATTTATCTATAGCTTTTGAAAATAAAAACACCGAATTTTTTCCAATTCATCTGCATTTGCTCTTTTTGTACTAGAACAATTTGTATTGTTCACAATATTAAAATCTCATATAATTGTTTTTCACTTAAAGCACTTCACTGAGAACAAAAGACGTATTTCCTATGAACACGTTTAAATAGTAATTAGATGATGTTTTAAATTAAAAACAACCCACAGCGAATTAAATAAATAAATAGTGATGCATTTGAAAGTGTCGCAGTAAAAAATAACACGTTCATATGCAAAAATGGCGTTATTATCTCTAAAAATTAACGATGGGATAGTAATTGCTACAATTCTTTGTTTTTGGGTAGTAATAACATGTTTTTATTTATCTTCTGATGGTGCGAATAAAAATGTTTCTTTTTCGTTAATTCGTTTAATTTGAAACATTGGTATTTTTGTTTTTCTCTATTACAAATCTGTTATTTTTTTTACAAAATATTTTATTAATCATCATTCTTCTTGTGTAAGATTTTTGTCTCGATTTATGTGTTTTATTCTAAGTAAGAATCTTATTTTATTTTAAAATTAGATCTTCAAACATGCCCCCTATAATTTTAAATATTATCTTTATCTATATTAATATGAGAATAAATTATGCTTATTTCTTTTGTTTTATAATCTATTAAAAATTTGAAAAGCAAAAACAAACTCTGATCTTCAATCAATTGAACTTTACAGATATGCTTCTTCTTACTTATTTAATATTTTATTAAGAGGAGAAAATAGTTATTTCATTCGAAGTATTTTTTTTTTTCATAAGAAGAAATTTGCTAGTCATACATCTATTATGAAAGATAATTTTCTCTAAACTGCCTCATTCAGTCAAGTTATATTGCAGAATTACGGATTTGACAGTGCCACTATTTCATAAAGCCTTCTGCGTTTAAACATTTTCTTCATTATTTGAAATTTTTTTTTTTCTTTCTTATTTTTGTCGATACCCTTTGAATCTTTTGAAAAGAATGAAAAAGAAAATGTTACCTGGACGTGATAGATGTAGAATATCTTGAAAAAATAAATGAAATTTTTTTGAATCATTAAATTGTTTTAATTGTTCTGTTATTTTAATTTCATTTGAAAATAAATTTGAATCTTGACTTTCTTTTAATATTTTCATTACATGATGTGGTGATTCTTCAACTGAATATTCATTTTCATTTTTTTCTAATAAATAAATCATTGATGTTAAACCATTTGCTAACCCTTTTATAATCAGATATTGATCAGCAAGTAAATTATCATGAGGATCTATATTGAATCTTGTATATTCATAAAATTCACTATTCATTGTTAGGAATTTTGTAAATATTTTCCATGTATCTTTATTAACACGTAAGTTTCTTAAACTTTGTTTTTTTCTTCTTTTTTGTGATTCACCAGTAGACAATAATGTTTCAGATAAACAACTGAACATTTCTAATTCTTGACTTTGAAAAAATTCAAAGGAATTTGAATTGGATTCTTTTTCAAGATAAAAAAATTTTATATATAAACAATTACTTATAAAACCATATATCTTTTTACGACGTTGTATTGACAATATAGTTTTCATATCATCTAATATATTTTCAATCATTACGTTTTCTGATAAAGATTCAGTTGGAGACTTTAAATTGCCAATACAAACAACAAAATCTTTCAAACATTTTTCTTCTTTACAAGTGTCGATATTTATATTTTTATATATAAATGTACAATCAGGTTGAGAATCATTTCCTAAGTAAGTTGAAGTAGTACTTAAATATTTCAATGATGTAGCATTATTAAATGTATTTAATAAATTAACCATTAAATCGTCAAATAAATATTGAATTTCATATGACTTTAAGTTTGGATTTGATGAATATAGATTTAAGAAATGTTCAGCATAATTAAATATGTTATCATTAAAATAATTGTTATCTTTTAATATACAATTGATATCGAACGATTGCAAGTCATCGGGTACATTAATATTGCAATCTTCATCACAAGATATTTTAAGAAAAAACAATCTATTTGTTTCGGATGAAGCACGTTCGAGTTCAACTTTCTCTTGTTTTGTTCTTTCGATTATGAAATTACGTATTTTTACTTCGGCTTCACGGTGGCGTTTTGTTTTTTCCACTCGTCTTATTTCTTCACTTTGACATTTCATTTTTTCGAGTTCATCTCGAACTTTTGTTTCTTCGATTACTTGTTTTGTTTTTTCTTCCGTGACAAGTTGTTTTTCTCCCAACATTGGTAGAGTTTCTTTGTGATCATCGGTTGTATCCATAGTTGTATAGTTTTTTAATCTACAAAAACAGAAAAAAAAAGATATTTCGTGAACAGAATCAGAGAGAATGACACAGTCGAGTGATTATAGTTAGGCAATGATGAATGTCAAAATGAAAGTAACGTGCAGACTAGTTGTTTTATATTCTGTCGATTTTAGCCGTCAGTAGCCGAAAATAATGAATAGTATTACAGTGTCATTGTGATGAACTGAGAGTGTGCGCCTATGCCCGTCATCATAATGATATATTGTTTCATCTGCAAATCTCTAGTCGTGCATTTCCTTTGGTTACTTTCCTTTATATAAGAGAGAGTGATGGCGCATGAGTGGATAGAAACAAAGAGGTTGCGGTCAGGCAATATAACAATGAGAGGGTCACAAGGTCAATGCACGAACATACGAATATAGTGAAGAGGACAATGTATTTGAAGTGAATCGAAACGGTGAGAAAACCGTTGCAATGATAATCAATGGATACAGCGAGCTTTGTTAGTTATCGCCATCGAGGCATAAACAAATTATTAAGTTTTTTGTATGCCTTTCGAAATAATGCTTCAATTTATCATTACCTAGAACGAACATACAGATAAACTGACTGAGTGATGAAATTTCAATAGTCGATTAAAATGCCATGTATCGTTATTTTACCAATCACATATGTGTCATATAATTATTAAGAAAGCAGTCGCTTAGATTTTTTTCTCGTTTTGATTGATGGTGACTCTTAGTAATTGTTCATTTTAAACTTTCTTATCGAAATCAACTATGAATATGAATAGAAAATGAGCTCTTATTTTCATAAAAAATATATTCTATGAAAAACAATTGTTAGTTTTTTCTCATTCAGTTTTAGCAGTCCTACATTTCCTAAATCAACAAAATTGTGGAATAATCGACGTCGTAACTTGAATGACAAAGAAAACGAAGAAATTAAAGAAGTATTTCAATTATTTTGTGATGCTAAAGACAATATACTTGTAATAATATTCAACTTTTGTTTGCGCTCTTTTTATATTTATTTTAGCTTGGATATTGACAGTATGTTTTGATGTTCGTAAAGTCATGGCTCAGAAAATAATGCGTAATTATGATAGTCAAGGTGATAATAAAACAAATTATCAAGACTTTCATGAAATTGGTAAGTATTTTATTCAAGTGCTGATTCTACACTATATTAATTACTTATTTATCTACGGAAATGATATTTCAATGTGACTCATGTGATGAAATACTTAAAAGCATTTATAAATTTATTTAATGATGATAAATAAAAAAAGTTTTCGTTTAAGAAGAACTACGACTTGGTGCAAAGGGTGTAGGTGTGTGGGTGTGGGTGTGGGTGTGGGTGTGGGTGTCGGTGTGGGTGTGGCTGTCAACATCGGTATCAATGTGAAAATCTCTGGATCAAAACGCGCACTGCACGCCCCACAGTCACAGTCACAGCCCACACCCACACCCCACCCACATCCACACCCCACACTCACACCCACACCCACACCCCACCCACACCCTGATTGTCACATGACTGTACAAACTTGTGATGGGTATGGGTGTTAATCTTCCCCTTAGTCATACCCTCACCCACATCCACACCCACCTATTCGATCTTACTCACATCCTTACCTTCCCCTTGATAAAATGGATAGAATTATGGTAGAAATAAAATTATTAAGATTTTTTGTATATTTCCTCTCTTAGCAACCTTTAACTATCAGTAAGTCCCTGTGATAGGTACGTCTGCGGAGTTTATATCGATTGCTATCAATGATAAGCGCTTAAAAATAAATGAAGTAAAGAGAACCAAGAATCTTTACTTTTGCAATCTTCATCTACGAAAACCTTTCAGAGCGCTTTTTCATTTGTACGTAAAAACGTTACCAATAGAATCACAAGCAGGATCATGGTGACTGATCTTGTTGTAATAGCTTTATTCACATCTATCATTTGTCTCCTTTTTGTTTCTTTCAATTAATGAATGATTCGTAACATATGAATAAAACTTTCAAATGTTAGAGTTCAGAAAAAAGGCATTTAGCATTCTGCTGGTAATACACATAAATCGATTGAGAAAGAAAGAGTTTTTTCTGCTTATTTGTGACGAAGAAAAAGCCTCTTTGGTATTGAATATTCCAAAGAATAAGGATAGTGCAGAAGATGATGAAGCACATTTTTCATATCAATGCGGATGAAATTATTATTTTCTTTTTACAGTCAAAGGAAAAAAATTTGCGCTATTGACTAATGAGCTTTTTTCCGAGTTTCTTGATATTGCTACATTTTTGTGTAGTTTTCGTTAAGGTCACTTTCCGATGCTACTAATTTCTAGTTTTGTCACATAGTCACTTACAAACATTTTACCCGTCTCATCATCACAATGCACGTATATTTTAAGTTTGAAACGTGTAGATGAGTTGACGACAGATGTTCTACCTCAATTTAATATTCGAGAAATTGAAATACGTCAACAACATCTATTCCTACTTATCAAATTCACGATTATTGATATTGTTGAAGCCACCCTCACATCCAATCATCGAATTCGATGACTCTTATTGAAAAAATATCGATATGAACATTATTAGAGAATACAATCTAACAGAATTTGTTTACTTGGTCTACATCGTTTTTTCAAAAGCACAATACTTGATGTATATACAATGCGTATGATAGTGACAATTTTCAATGTTTAAAGGGATTCTTTTGGAAGAAAAATTTTTAAATGCAAATCGAACAGGTGTAAATATACTGGCAGTTAAGTGAAGTTAAACACTAGATCGTTTTGAATCGATTTTTATGAGAATATTGAAGATAACACGTTTAGATGCAACCAATATTAGGGTGTGGCTGTGTGAATGTGAGTAAAGAAAAGATCTATACTTACACCAACACCTACACCCACCCTAAAACAAGATGAAATAGTATTCTGTATTGCGTAAACATTAAAAAGTGACAAATCAAATAATGATAAATAACGGTTTTGTGAACATGGAAGAATTTGTTCTTGTTGAATCATTTTTTTTGCCGAAAGACTTCTTTCAAGATAATAAATTAAAGAAATAGTTTTAAAAACGTAGATTGTTTCGACCTCTGAAATAATAAGAATGATAGAATAGTAATAAGTCCAAAAATTAAAAATAATCCACCCATTGATTTAATTTTTACTGCAGTCGATATTTCAAATGAAATAGGACAAACCTTTTTTTGAAACCTTTTTCGTCTTAACTGCTCAAGTTGACCTGATTCTCTTAATGATAAAATATTAACATCTAAATCGTTCACATAGATCCATTGTTTTTAATTAACAATTCTATAACCTCCTTTACGAAAATCTTCTCCAATTAAAGTTAAATTACAATAAATATTATCTGTAATATATTTCGCTATGGCAGAGTCCATGAAGGAAAAATCAATAATTTCTTCTAGTAAACTATGATACAATTCTTCTCGAGATTTGAAACGATGATAATCTCGACGACCAAAAGATATTTCTTTTAAATAATATCCTTCAATTGCTGCATCAACGAGAACACCAATACGATCAGATGGAATTTTTCAATTTTCGATATCATCAATTCCCGAAATAATATTTGATTTTGATATTGTTAGATCAGATGTTAAATTTACAGTATATGTTGCTAATAATATTAAACTTAACACATATAAACCAGCAGCTGTATTAACGTTAAAGTCAACACCATATCCAACAATGTTACCAAAAGAATACCGAACACTCATTAGAAATTGAAGTAATATCGATCGATTTTGTAATATACCATTATCTTGTCTTTCAATAAAACAAAGTAAAAAAGCAACATAAATACAAATACCAAAGACTAATAACCAGAGTTGACTTGAAAATGATATTAAAAATGATAAAAGATCAATATTAACATTAGATGTTCTTCGAGCTATAATTCCTATAGAAGTATCAAATACTATAGCAGAAAAATCGACTAATTCTTTTCATGTAGCAGTAATTGTTACGTCATCAATAATAATATCATAACCACCTTTAGCTACAGCTTCAATTGATTCTGAATAAGGTTTATTTGATTGCAGTAGTTGAATATCAGGAATAAATCGTATTTTATTTTTTAAAAGTTCAATAAGATCACATATATAACCAGTGTATTTTGTTTTATTTTGTCCAAAATTATCAGTATAATTTGTTATTACTACAAATGGAATCGATTTAATTTTACCGATTCGTAAACGTTTACCTTTAAATATTGTTCGATCAGTTGGAATAATTAATGAATAGTCTAGCCAAAAAATACTAGCTGTTGGTTTATAAAAATTTCAATCATCACTATCAGTATATGCTAATACTGGAATACAATTTAAACCATTTGAAGATGATTGTAGATTTTGTACATAATAATATGAACCATTGATTCGATCTGTAAGATGATTTAAATGAAATTTTATTGGACCAGATACACCAAGAAATTCAGTTTGATTTATTGAATTCAATAATAAATCAGATTGAACAAAACGACGATCAAAACAAAATGAAGATTTAATAAATGCTAAACATGAAGATGAAGAATTATTTTTAATTGTTGAACAAAATTTTTCTAATGATTTAATTAATGACGATGTAGCATCAAATGCAAATAATGCAAAAGAATTTACTTTTGATGATTTAAGATATGATTCAATTTCACATTTCTGCCAAATATGATATGTCGCATTTAATAATGTTCTATTTATTGATGCATTAACAAAAGTTCCTGCAATTGGTTCAATAGTTAATAATCGAATTAATTTTTCATAAGATTTTTTATTAAATGAATCTAATGAAATAGTTGAACTTAATATCCATATAAATTCAGGACCGACTAGATCAAGTTGAAGAGCATCTTCTCGCATTAAAGGTATATAAGTTGAGTAAACCCATAAAATAACAATTCAATTTCCACTATTTATTAATTTGTTTTTTAAATTATCATGAATAATGAGTGTTGATATATAAAATATGATCGATTCTCGAACTGTTAAATTATTTTTAATAAATTCTTCAATTATTGCATTGGCACCTCGAATTCTAAAGGCATGATTTTGATAAATAACTATAGATGATGTCCAATTAAATTGTTTAACCAATTTTATAATTGCTCTAGCAGTTGTTTTTTTTGTCTGAAGAAGCTGTACAATAAAAATTTGAATAAGCATTTCGATGAGATAAATCAGAATCAGTAACACTATATGATATAAAAGGTATAAATATTCTTTCTGTAAATGTAGCTATGAACTCAGCTTCTTTTGATAATCTTGAACCAATACCACCAACAGTATTCGAAACACATAATATTTTACATGTTTCAATAATGAAATCGATTAGATTACCACTAGTTTGTACCGAATGTCATTCAATTAATTTTCCGTCTATTGTTATATTAGAGGGTGTGGGTGTGGGTGTGGGTGTGGGTGGGGT